CGCTGCCGACGTACACCGTCATTGGGAGGGATGGATGGGCGCCCATCCGCTTCAACGTATCCACAAGGGACCTGGATGATACCAGGAAGTATTGCATTTCAGAGCGGCATTACACAATGAATTCATCGAATGACAATCGCCACTGTGAGGATGACGTTGTATCCTCTGCGAATGGGATCATTCTCGAGAATGAAGTTGTCCCTGCTGCTGTCCACCCGCACGCGGACCGTATGCTCGTGCAGCCAATGGAGGGTCCTTTGATTGTGCCCCAATTTGGCACGGGCAGCGTTTGCAGTCGGTTCACGGTGCGTGCTGGGAATTGTTCTACTGGTGTTGCCAATGCTGACATGGTGCTGTGCGTGGCTGCGGCGCTGTCGGTGGTGGTGCACTCGACGACTGCCGCGATGGCTGCGAGGAGCCCCACGACTGCGACGACGTTTATGGCATGGAGCTGCAGGATGGCGATGGGGACGGGAGGACGCTGGAGTCGCACTGGTCGCAGCGCCACGCGAAGGATGAGTGGATGGCATCGATTGGTTGTGCCGTCTACTGCACGGAGCTGACGCTGGCCGCATCGGCTGAACTGGGTTGCATGAGGGTGAAGTGGAGTATGGCGGAGCCGATGCGTTGGTGGAGGAATTCGAACTGTGCACTACTGCGGTGGAAGTGCTCCGCACTGAACATGAGTGAATATCCCAACATATTCTGAAAAGCGAGCATTCCCGCCAGACGCTGCACGTCGGATTGGTATTCCAGTGGTTGGTGTGTAGACGGAGTATCCATGAAATGTCAGCAAAACGCCCGATGGACAGTTGCTCCATCAGTGGTCTCGCACTGGATGTGAGGGATGCTGACGCTGTTATTTGGAGGGGAGAATGTTTTTCTGCGGTGCCTGGGGACAAGCCCGCTTCGTGGTGCCTGGACACGCTTCCCACCAACACGACAGATGCGAGGGACCCGGAAGAAAAATACATCTGAGTGCCATGCATGCGGCATTGCGGTGCCTCCGCATGCAGGTGCATCTGAAAGTGACTGAAGAGGGTAACGGCCGTTGTGTCCCATGCGCGGACGGAGCGACGATTACGTGGGCCATTCAACCCTACGATGAGGGGACCGTTAGTTGCCGTGACCACGCGCAGGTGTGCACGATATCCGTCACCAGCGGCAGCTTGCTTCCAGTGGTTCCGTGGGACGGCGATGTGAGAGAGGGTGTGGAGCGTGACGGTCCCACCGGCATCTACTGAACAAGGATTGCCACGGGCATCCGTCCCCGTTGCGGAGAGCATTGGGACCGGCCGTGGCACACCACCGAAGGATGTGGACACGGCTGCTCTCCAGAAGCATCCGTCGCCAGAGGAGAAGGAAGTCACCCCCGATGCCACGACAGCAACGGTGTGCTCTTGCCCAGCGACATCGCGGGTGCGCCGCAGGAGGCGGAGAAGGAGAGCGGTCTTCCGGACATCGACGATGTCGCCGCCGATGGTGTGACGTCTGTTGTGGGACAATCATTAGGAGATGAGGCCGCCAGCGACAAGGACGGTGGCGGTGCCGCAGCCACGGGACCCAAGAGCCCTGATGCCGCTGATGCCGCGCAGGGCGCTGTGGACCCTCCGCCGAGGGTGGATGAAGCGGCGGTGGTGCGCGGGGGTTGGGAGGCAGACATGAAGTATGCCCCGCCTCCGATCCAAGGCAATAACAATGCGGCTGCGGCTTGTCCCTTTCCGCCGCTTCTGCTGCTTGCCGCTGCCGCCGCCGTGCCAACACTCAGCAGTGGGTGCAGGAGAGAAAGGCCTATATCAATTGGCATTTCCTATCAGTATACACATATATACATGCGCTCTGCTTGTCTGTATACTTTGTACCATGGACATGCTGTATGCACTCTCTCTCTTTTGTTGGTCGCTAATGTGGCGGCACCATGCGTGTTTTTAATGGGTTTGGGGATAACCATTTGTTTGACTTCTTTTGAAGGATATCGTGGGGTGTTTGTGTGCGTATGCGAGGGATCTGTGTGGTTTCGATTTTCTTATTTTTGTTTATATTGCTTTTGCATTGTGTGGTGCTCGTTGTATTACTCCTGTTGCGTTCGTTTCTGAAGTGTTGCTAGGGCACCGGGAGTGGATGCCTGTGGACGCACGCCGTGCATTATGCGCTACATTGGTGGGTGGGGAGACTGACATAACTGGCGGGATTCAGTAAGGCGCATTTTTGCCCACGGACCCTGCAGCCGCAGCAGCCTGAGTGGCGCTTTGCATATGGACGTGTGGATTGTTTTTTCTTGCGAGGCTTTTTTACTGCGTGTCATTTTCCGCTCGGGTACCGTGCCCGTGGCAGCAGCGGCGGCATCAAAAGAGCATTGTGTGTATGTGTGTGGAGAGTCCTTGATTAAGTGCCTGCCTTACTTCTCTGTTCCGTCGATCGATTGTACCGTGTGCCGGCCAAACTGTTGACATGACGTTCTTCTGACGGCGGGGTCCACGTGAAATGGTTTTGCGTCGCGTGCTTTGGCGCGGGTGTGTGTTTTCTGCAACAGTCGTTGGGCGGTTGCCTGTTGGGTCGTTGAGTGTGGCGTGGAGACGGGTGCGGATGGACCCGATTGAGTGCCGCGGGAAGGAGGAAGGCGGCGGAGCGATGGACACCCGAGGAGTGCGGTGGCGGGCAGCCATGAAGGTTGGCGACAAGGAACTCACTGCTTCTGTGAGTTGCCGTGCGTGGTGTTTGTTTCTGTTATTATTACTTGCGTTGTTGGATGTAGCCACTGTGGGGGAGAGTTTTTTTTTGTTTCTTTTTTACGCCGTTTTGGGATCCTTTTCTGCACCGGCATTTTTGTGTTCCTGCCGCACTGTTGCGCCCTCTTTCCTGTCCATTGGGAGCAGCTGCGGGTGGGTTTTACATGCCATGGAGTTGTGTGCGTGCTGTCCGGTGCTTTATTGTTGCTTGTTCTTCCTACGTGCACGCGTCCCCCATGCTCATGACAACAACCCTCATGTCAGCGTCTTCCCTTCTTTCCCATCCTGCTACTGCTGCTGATGTGTGTGTGTGTGTGTTCTTCTCATCCTCCTCTCATTTTGCCTCCCTAGACTGTGTGTGCAGCCGTGATGATGGTGACTGGCCGTGTGCTGCTGGTGTGTGCCCTCTGCGTGCTGTGGTGCGGTGCCGGCGGTGGAGGATGTTCTGAAACACCTCAAGTTCCTCCGGCTTCTCCGCCCGTTAATGACAGTGTCCCTAAAAATGACAACAATTCCACAGGTGGCGCTGGAGGAGGTCGCCAAAGCGGTCAATCGAAGGCTTTACAAGAAAAGTCATTACCGGTGCAAGGCGCAACCGGAGCGGGAGTGGAAAAGGCAATAAAACCCGAGGCAAAAGTACCAGAAACGGCAGACGCAGAGAAGAAAAACGAGGATCAAACGCAAGGAGCTGAAGATGTTGGTAAAAAGAAGGATGAAGAGCAGGAACCGAACGAGGAGGAAGAAGAAGAAGAGGAAGAAGAAAAACGTAACGGTAAGAAGGAAGAAGAGGAGAAAAAGCATGAAGACGCTGGTACCGGCACCACAGAGGGGATGTCAACAGGCAGTGAAGAGCAGCCAATTTTATCTTCTGGCGCGGAGGCAGCATCGAATAAAACAAATCTTAAAAGTACCCAAATAACTGACGACGATGATCCAGCAGCTGATGCTGCAGGGACAAGAAAAGAAAAACAAAATGAAAATAAAGAAGCCAATCCGAAAGAAACACCAGTCGAAGCCACAGCCACGAAGAATACAACGGCGATGAGTGGCGACAGCGACAGCAGCACCGCGGTCTCCCACACCACCTCCCCTCTTTTGCTTCTTCTTGTTGTTGCGTGTGCGGCTGCTGCTGCGGTGGTGGCCGCGTGAGAGTGAGGGAGAGAGAGCCATGCACCGCCCGCACACACACTCGTCCTTCACTCACTCCCTGTGTGTGTGTCCCCTTGCATGGACTCTCGCCCTCACCTCACCCCACGAAGCACACACATAATGTGCCCATTGTATACATTGCATGCACACCCATGCAGGCCCGTTGGTGCTCTCTTTTGCACGACACGCACCGCTGCCGTCCTGCCTGGCTGCATGGGCGGAGCACCGTAACTGTTTCTGTTTTGTTTTTATTGCATTGAGTGGGCGGCCTCTCTCTCTCTCTCCCTCCCTGTGTGTGTGTTTTGCTTTACGGGAGCAATGAGAGTGTGTGCGCTGGTCGTCCCACGCTTTGGCTTTTTGTTTTGTTTTTCATTGTTTTTTGGTTGAGAGCACCCATTCCGCGGGCTGCGTGTGTGTGTGTGTGTGTGTGTGTGTGATGATATGAGTAATTTGCGTGTGTGCTATCTGCCTCTCTCTGCCGTTGCTTTCTTCTGACTCTCTTGTGGCGCACAGCTGCTCTGCAAGTATAGACGCTGACAAACACAGATGCACACACACACGCCATTATGCATACTCCGTAGAGCGGCGTGATTGCTGAGGACGCACGCAGATGATTCTGGCTGCGAAATCCCTTGCGAGGAGGGAGTACGGGAGTCTGCGATTTATTTTTTGACACGTGGCAGGCGTGCAGTCGATTGGGCGGTGTGGGTTAATGTGCCTGGGACAAGTGCGGATTGCTTCTCGTCCAGCTGCTGCAGGTGCCAATGTGTATCTCCTATGCTGTGTATACGTTGGTCAGGGATTCTTCGCCTGTGTGCGTGATGTGCGTTGGAAGGTGCGCTGGAAGGGTGAACAGTAAAATGACTGGAGACAGCGCGTGGGCTTTGCAAAGGACGGTCTTGTTCTCTTTTGCATTCTGCCGGTTGCTTTGCCGGGTGTGGTGTTTCTTGGTGTGTGCTGACGCGTGACGAATAAGACACCCGCCGTGACCCCTGCTGCTGCTGGTGGTGGCAGTCGCCGTG